AACGCGATGTTCAATCTCAGCACAAAATAAAATCAGTAGGTAGGTAATACTATTTATTTTATACATTTTATACATTTTATTGATTAATTAAACATGACAGTTATAACCACTTTATTCATGAATAAAAAAACAAATGTAACAATTATTTTTCTTTAATTTGAATTAAACGAATAAACATCTAAATTACCTACATGTCTATCATTAAACTTTATTTATTAACATGAATATTAAATGTGCAATTTTGTATGGTACAATTGTTGATATTTAAAGCGCTGCTGGCTGTCTTTTTTTCAAAGTTTACAGTTCTGTCGTTGAATACGTTACTTGTAATAAGGTTCTCAGTTTCAGTGTTAACAATTGTACCATTATTAACAGAAAAGTCTTCGATTAAATTATTTTCAGGATCAATATTTACAGTTTCGCTTGATGTACTTGGTTCATTATACTCTAATGGGTTTAATATTTTCATCGCTATCTGTTCCTTATTGTTTACAGAATCTTCAATGTGTCCTTCAGCGACGCTGGTAGATTTCCATCCACCATGTCGCTTTAGGGTTGTAATGTCTCCACCATTATCAACTAAGATAGTTGCCGAGGTTCTTCTAAGGCAATGCCCCGTATATTCATGTGGATTTGGCAACCTTAAAAATGATGCAACATCTTTTGGCACTTTTGAAATTTTATGTATGCCCATTACAACACGATGACAATGGCCACTTTGATATTTAATAAAAAATCTATCAAAAGTTATGTCTTTTGGCCGAAGAGTAGCATATTTTCTGTATAAATTTAAATAAAACTCTCCAATTATGGCAAATGAACGATGTTTCTTAGTTTTCGTATTGGGAATATTTACTAATATTATATTTCCCAAATCTTTTACATCATTAACTTTTACTTGAATGAGTTCATCGCATCTACAAGCTCCTGTGACTCCAAATATTAGTGCAACCTAAAAAATATAGAATTATTAATTTTGTAACAATAAAAAAAGTTGGAAAATGCAAGGAAATTCTAAAACATGACGTAATTTTAAGACATCTATATTTATGAATTTTTACAACATTCTTCTAATGAGCTATCTTTATTTCCGGAAATTGTTTATTATTCTCGTAATGGATACTATAAAATAACTTTTACAATAAGTTTACAAATTATAACAAAATTTTGTATTACAAATATAAAAAGGTTAAATATATATCTACCTATAATTTAAAAAGTACATACCTTGGTTGCTAAATATTTATCATCAGGTGCTTTATTCAGGAATTCGTCAAATTCTTTTTTAGACAAAACTTTCGACTTCTTTGGTTTATAATTTTCACCTTGTCGTTTCAAAAATGTAATTAATTTTGAATATTTCTCAATATTTACATTGTGTTCTATGTTTAATTTAGATTTTACCATTGAATATTGCGCCCATAAAGTTGAACTTTTCAGTGTTCTGAATAATCTTGTAAAATATGCTATCATCACATTTTCTGAATAAATATGTGCATTATTTTCTTTTGCCCAATTTATGAATTTATCATAAGCATTTTCATAAATTTTTCTCGACTTTGTTGGTATAAGTGTTGCCACTGATGTATTTGCAATTTCCAGTAATTCTGGTGGTGTGCACTGCATTTCTTCAGACATTTTAAAAACGACCCGACGCGACATCAAATTTCAACTGACACTTAATGAAACGTCAAAGCTTCTTGAATCTTTAATTCGTTGCTAGGATACTTACCTACACATTGTTACATTTTTTTACTAGTTAAAAAATTGAAAATATTTGTACTAGTTAAACAATAGGCTGCTTCTAAATGAGTTGTTGCACTATATAATATAAGTATTATTATACGCTTGAAAATATATTATCGACTTAAAATTAGAAAGAAAAATTGTATACAGAACAGTATACAAATTTAATCAGATTTAGTAGTGCCTGATATTGATTGCTAACTGTTAATAATTTTTGTTCTTATAAAGAAACTATAAAATTCACTTTTTTCATTCCGCACGCTACTATAGTTTATAGTATTGTCTAAGCTATTACTCATTAATTATGATATCTAATATAACGTTAGTCGGTACAAATTGTAATTTAAAATGTAAATGTTTAGTTGGTGTATGTGTATGACATACTTTATGGTTTAATATGAGAGCTGTTACAGTTAATTTTTTGCTTACCACATTAATTTGTTAATTGTAAATACTTACAAAGTTGATAAAACCGTTTTTCTCCATATGGAAAAAAACGCATTTCCTGACAAATTTCGCTCTACGTAATGAACTCATTGACCAAATGAGTAATATTTTATGAAAATTTAAATAAATATTAAATAGTAAAACAATAATTTGCACTAATTAAATATAATCGTATCTGACATTCGTTTTATTTGATTGTACGCAGCTAGCGTATTTTAATAAAAAATACTACCAATTGAGTTTTCCTTCGATAGCTTCTCTCAGCTATCGAGATGATTGGAATTCCAATTCTAATATTTAGATAAGCTAAACAAACATCTTTGTAGGTAAATACTTTAAAAATAGTTTGCTATTTGTTTATATGAGGACTAAAGTAAACAAAAACTCCTCCTTCAAACAGTTTTGGATTAGTATTCCTTTAAAATAAGTATATCGAAAGCAAATATCGCCAAAATCTCATAGCAAGAAAAAATATCAATTTTTGTTTGTTTTTCTATTTCAGAACTTGATAAATATTGATAGTAGTATTCAAAATACAGGAGCTGAAATTAGGAAAATGTCATGTATTTTAGTCCAAAATATTTGTCCAAATTTTAGTGGCGGATTCTGCGTTGCTAATTTAACGAAAAAAGTATAAAAGTATGTGTCCAGAAACGCTTCGCTTTCAATATACAGGGTGTTCAAAATTACTGAAAATATTTCATGTTGAAAAAAAATTAATGACAACTATGTAAATAATACCTTATACTAGTCCCAGATAGCATGATTATTTGAATAATAATTATTTGCAATTAAAAAATAATTCGGTGTTTTGACACTTGTAGTAGCAATATATTTCCCCAGCAACTGTTTGATAAATATTTTAGTTACACCCTGTATGTTATCGGCCCAAGAGTCGTCAGTATACGTTAAATATCCTGAGATATCTCATAATTGTCTTTAGGATATGATAAGAAGATTCCTTAGTGAGATGTAGTAAAAAATTTTGATGTATTCTTTGATTCAACTTCTAAATTTTTTTAATCATATGATTAATATTCGCAGAAAACTTTATCCTTCTTTGAAAACCTGGATCTCTTTCACTCATATTATGTGATTGTCGTTTATTGCCCCTGCCTCTGTCAAGCTGATTAAAATCGTTTACTAGGAACTTAAAAATCTAATGTTTCTCTCTTGTGATGTTTTACTATTATTATTATTCCACACTACACTCATATCTAGGTAGTTTTAATTTGATGAACATGTTGGAAATATTTATCCATATACTATTTGAGTTTTATATTTAAATGTGATAAACATAAACAAACCCTTATATCTGTTTAATAAAATAAGATGGAGAACAGACATTTACTCAAGGAACTTAAGAAAAATTGAAAAGAAGGTTACATTGGGTATCATAAGAGCGAAAAATTTCAATCTTCCTTTTTTTATATAGCTTAATTTAAAAAAAATTTGCCTGTTCAGTATCATAGTCTATCAATAACTTCTGTAAAACGTATGTTAAAGTTGGATACCATTTCAATAAACAAGTGTTTTAATGGTATGATAAAGTGTGACCGCAAAAATCGCCCGTTTTTTCACAATTCGCAGAGAACTAAAGGAAATAGATAAAAATATGTTTTTGATATCAAATTACTCGTCGTAAAAAATTAAGATGAGCATAGCTTTTAGTTTTTTGAAAAATTTCGAAAATCACCCCTAGTTAGGGGTTGAAAAGACGCCCAAAATGAAGAATTGAATATTACCAATAAATATAAAAACTATTAGCGTGTGAACTTTTCTATCGAATGATTCTTGATACAAAATTCTTGATACAAATTGATTGTTTTCTGCATTATCAGTTAGTAAGCTTTACGATGATCTTATTTTAGTATTACAACTAGCTTTGTTTATTTATTCCTGAAGCTGCGATCCATTTTGGGCTTATGAACACGAAGACGAATTGTGGCAAAGAATAGAAGAAAATTGTAATCCTCTTCAGGGAAAATCAAACCATGATGAGTTCCTCTATAAATAGCCTGGTTAGAAGATGTCAAAAGTGTATCGATGTGGAAGGATTTCGTTTTGAACAATCGTTGTAGGACTCGTTACTTACTTACTTACTCGACCTATTTTTTAATTTTAATTTATTATTTAGTTTGATATCGCTTCCAGAAATAAAGTTATTTCTACAAAAAACCGCCAATGGCGTATTCTTTTCCTGGGAAAAGTTAACGGGCGCTGCTACTAGCACGTCACTGGTTAAAACCAGGAGGTTTTCATCAAATAAATGAATTAATTTATGTGGAAAATTCAATAAAACGTAAAAACAAGCCCAAATATCTTCTAAACGGCTGCTACTATTAAAAAAACAACACTTTTCATTCATTTAACATAACAATACCTGAATGTAACATTATTTCTACAAAAAACCGCCAGTGGCGTATTCTTTTCTTAGGAAAATGGGGAGGCACCTCCAGTAGCACGTCACTGGTTAAAGTCACAAGGTTAATATTACATTCAATAAAAGGTTTAATTAAGTTCATGCGCTGTAGTAAATTTCATTTAATTCCGTCAGCGCATTATGAAGATATGGCAGCAAATATATACTTATTTTTTTGTAAACCGTAACACCCTGTATCTTGAATAACGAGTCGCGCAGGAAAAAAGTTTATACAGCAAACCCTACTTATTTTTTTGGTAATGAATCTAGTCCTGCAGTTTCTGTATTTAAAGTGAAATCACCCTGTAGATACATCTTGACTTTGCAAAAAATGTACTTTTAAATTTTTATTGTTAAAAAATTTTACTATTCTGCTGGTTTACAGATTCCCACGACTTGGTGTTACGATTCAACCACGCTCCAACTAAGGGCTTCGAGAAAGACGTGGGCAAGAAAACCACCGTCAGAGTCCTGAACTCCCAGGTTGTAACCAAACACGAATTCAAGTTCCTCACGTCAAACTTATATAAAAACACGACACTGGTAGCATGGGACCCCAGCAATTATTCCTCTTCAATAAGCGAATGGCTGGAAAAACCCGAATTCAACCTGCTTCCTAACTACATGGAGTACAGGAAGAGGGACCTCAAATCTAGGTTTTTCTTGCTGAATCCGAAGTCTATATGGGATGTGTGGGATTTTCTTCAGGGCAATTCGCCTAGTAGGCTTAGGAGGAATCCCCCATCGTCTGGGTTTTTAGGTCAGTAATTGGTATATTGACTTGCGTTTACTAATTTCTTTAGCGATGCTTACATAAATATACACGGAGAGAACTGCTATTGCACTTCCAATGATAATTGTATATTTAACCGCTATTTCTTTAAGTCAGTATTAACTATAATTGATTTATATCGGTATTATTCAAACAATGGAAAAAGATTGTTTGACTAGAATACCAAAAACAATAAAATTAATTGTGAAATTGGGAGTGATTGACAGTTAAAATGCGATTTTTAGTCAAAAAATCGGTCGCAAGTGTCAATCGATGAGATGGAGCATTATAGAACGCCAATATAGAATTGGCTCGGTGAAACGAACTCCTTATTACAATGATCTTGGAATTGTAAAAGCAAATCAACATTATCTTTACATATAACTCCTCCAAACGAGATTTTTTGGATTTGGTTTCCACTCGACACTTTTGCTCTTGGTTTCTGGATTATATTGAAAACATCATGTTTCATCAATAGTCACAATGTTGTAAAAGAAGTTTTTGGCCTTTTTGACCCCTTTACAATGTTAAATTCTAAGCAATTTTTGGTCGTCGGTCAACTTGTGCGGAAAAAACGGTACACATACTTTTCGGTAGCTCAAATATTAGGCCAAATTGATGTTTTTTGAGATGCTCAATTTCAATTCCATGAATTTCAATGAAGATTTTGGCTGATCTTTGATGAATTCACTCACAGTTTTGTTGAAATCTGTGGTGATCATGGATTTCGGGTGGCCAACATGAATGATGAATTCTGCTACGAGATAAACAGTCATCACCATGAACTTAGTTCATTACTTAGAACGTTGCGGTGAAAGTTTTACCAAGTTTAAAATAAATCTTAATATTGCTCGATGCTCATTTTTGAACCGATAACAAAAACATACTGTCACTTCAGATGTAATAACTCTGCTTCTATTCGTCCAAATCAAGGATCTACTGTTTCAATGCGTGTCAATAGATGACCTTCCTAGAAATGTCTATTTGAAAGGTTCTATTTACTTTAGAACGTACCTTTTATGACCCCAAAAAAATGTTTGGGAAAGGCCTCGTCGAATAATAAGAATCTTCTAAATCTATTTGTAATATCTGTTTTCAACTAAAGATATAAGTAAGAGAAATAGACACGGAAATTATTTATTTGTTCTAAGGGTAATTCGAGGCGGAATTTGAATTCTTTAAAAAAAAAAATTGCTAGAAAATATCAAATATCTGCAAAACAAAATCTTTATTATTATTATTGAAATGTAAAACATTTCAAATAGAAAAATAGTAACGGATCTCAAAAATATTAACTTTTTTAAACGGATTCCTATGTTAAATTTGATTTGATGCAAAATCTAACATTCCTTCTATTACATTACGACATGTTTGCGTCTGTTTCTCATAGATTAAGAAATATTCACGGTTATTCAGGTATTTTGTTGCAATTTTCGCGTTAAAAATGGATGCCACGTAATAATGGAATTTACAAAAGTAAAATGGACTGTGAAAATGATGTTTGAGCATCGTTTAACGTAATATATGCCTAAATATTTACAAGAACGTCCAAATAAATTTCTTCTCAAAGCAGCCATAACCCTTATAAAAATACGATTACACCAAGTCAAACACTGTATAAAAAACTTACTTAATAATGAAGTAATTAATAATGAGAAATACCAAAATATGTTTGTGCTGAGATATAACATAGATAGTTCAGATACAATGTTTCTGAAAGTTTGCCTTCTTCAATGATGCATTGTAATGGAAGGCGAAGAATAAACAAGTTGAATGAAAATTAAATTTTTCATTTGTCCTTAACAAATTTAACATAGGATTCTTTTTAAAAAAGTTAAGTCCAAAGCTTGGAACTTCTAACGTTCGTAATTACTATTTGTTCATTTGAAATGTATTAAGTAACGCAGAGAAGATATTTTTTTCATGCTTCAACGAATAGTGACAACCGCATCTCGAGATCATGTTTAGTTTCATAGATATCTTCCAGGATGCTGCAAACGCTAACCAATACCGAAACGGTATGACAAAATATGGAGAAATTTAATTGTTGCGACTGTTAATTGGGACACTTTTTTTATTGTTGATATTACCAGCGCTATGGAAAATCCGTCTCAAGTGAGAGGGACATCTTGTTTGTCCAAGTTATGTTCCAGACATTTTTTTGTTGCTGTGGTAATGTTTTAAAGTAATACTTAATTGGTTACAAAACAATGATAATATGCAATTTTTAAGTCCTCGATTAAAAACAATTGTCTGTCAAAAACCAGAAGAAATTGTACTACAGTATTTTGACCTCCCGAAACTTATTTCTTAAATCTGTTTTTCGTTAAACTTTGAGAATAAAAAGATAGGTACGTGTTTTTTTAGTAATTGTGTTATTATAGAAATAACAATTAATGATATTCTTTTATTGTATCGGGTGTCCCAAAATCCATGAAAGATTTGAATTTTGCACCAAAAGTGCGATAAAGTGTTGCCAATGCAAAAAGAAACAGTGTGACAGCTGACAGTGCTGTATTAAAAAAATGGAGAGACTTCTTTAATCTATAATAAGTACAAGAATAACAACAACAATACCAGCAGCAGCAGCAGCAGCAGCAGCAGCAGCAGCAGCAGCAGCAGCAGCAGCAGCGGCAGCAGCAGCAGCAACAGTAACAACTAAAGCAGACTTTTTTAGTCTATAATAAGAATATTCTTTACTAAGTACAAGAACAACAAGAACAACAATAACAACAACAACAGCTGCAGGAACAACGACAGTAATAACATCTACAGCAGCAGCAGTAGCAGCAGCAACAGTAACAACTATGGCAGACGGACTTCTTTAATCTCTAATAAGTGTATCGCTTACTAAGTAGTCAGTGTTTCCTTACTATAGTAGTCAAAATATTCCATGCGAATTCGGTAGAACGCTTCGTATCCTCCTTGAGTATGCTAAGGAAACCAGTTCTAGGAATAAGATTTAGAGCGTTATCACCATCGTTGCCTTAGATTAGATGAAGTCGTTGTTGCTCTTAGTAGTAGTAGTAAGTAGTAGTAGTAGCAGTAGTAGTAAAGAAAGAACAACGCGCTTTCATTGTTGAGCAGCATTTTAAATATATAATGAAGGTTTTGCAACTACATTTCGCAATTTTGGAATAGTGTTTTAACTTCAGCTAGAATGGATCAATTAGTGGTAAATAAACACTTTAGCTGCCTTTCATAAGTCGTTCAACACACAACATCAAAGCAGTTCATGAGAGTGTTGTTGAGAGTCCAGGAACATCAATTCGACACCTTGGTCAAGAATTAGAGATTTCGAGAAGCTCTCTGCAGCGTACTTTTTCGAAAGATTTTCTTTCTTACGAAATTCAAGTGACTCAAGAACTGAAGCTTACTGACCACGCAGAGTGAACCGTTGCATAGATTATTATAGAATAAGTGGATGCTGATTTTTCGAACAGAATCATCGTCAGCGATGAGACTCATTTTTATTTTATGGCTTCGTTAATTGACAAAATTGTTACATCTGGGATTCAGAAAGTTTCTGTAGACATATTGTGAATATTGTTTTGTCCGTCTATAAAAATGTAGGGTTTTTAATAAGATTTTCTAGAGGTTTTGATGATATCGATCTACTTAACCTACTCTACAATTCATTTGTAAAAAGTAGGCTTCAATATGGTTCGCTAATTTAGAATCCAGGGTACAGTAAATATTCCAATAGTTTAGAAAATATCCAGAGTCGTTATTTAAAATTTGTAACCTTTAAAGTTGACAACGTGTACCTATTGGCATTCTTCATAAGCAACTGTTGGGTAGATTTTCATTTCTCAGCCTATCTGATAATACGTAACAACTTTAATTGTCCGAATGTATTACAGATGTTAAATTTTTATATGTCTACTTTTATCTACCTACTCCACGAACAACTGACTTGAAGTTTTCGCCCCTTACAGTATGTGTCAAAATAAACCACCAACTTTGAGGCCATCTAGCGGCCAAACGAAGCGATTTCGGATATAGGTGAACTAGACTAAATCTGCCTATTTTAAGTCCACGAATCTGTGGTCTTCCGTTGTACACGTTATTCTGGGATACCCTGTATAAAGATAAATTAAACCAATACAAGACGCAAAAATAAAAATAATAATAAACTAGGACAAAAGGCTTAGAATTCTCATTGTAATAAAAGTAAAATTTTTCTTAATTTTCCGTATTTTCCAATTTTTCATTTTTTTTAGTTTTAGACCTGTGGCGTGTTCAGTCCACGTGATTGCGGGTGAGCGGGCTTGGTTAGTTCAACTATGTTTTCCTGTAATATTCATTAATGTCTAATACATTGACGTGACGAATAGGAAGCATTTTATTTTATTTCTTTTTTGACTGAAATACGAAGGATATTGAAACTTTTCTTCATGTTTCCAGGTCTCAGATTGCTCCTACCCTACTGCAACTTTGTGGACATGTTCGAGTACATACCCTCCACAAGAGTGACCAAGAGATGTCACTACTACGATCCGGAGGAAAACCTTGCTTGTACTTTCGGCGTGTGGCATCCTCTGGCGGCAGAGAAACTCCTAGCGTATTACGTCAACTCCGCCGATGATAAGACCGTTTTTCAGCATGGTTTCGTTAGAGTTCCAGGTTTCAGAAACCTGAATTGTTAACGTAATTCGACAAGAAGTAGTCTGTTGAATTTAATAATCAAAAGTGAAGTACTTAATTTTTGTAATGAGCCGAAAATGCTTATACATTTGTTTAATACGGATATTAGTTCAAAATGTACAAATAGTAATAAATATTTTAATGTTTTTTTTTACTGAAATTGAGGAAGATTACAATTGTTTTCATTTCAAGTCTGTGATATTTTACAAGCATAGTTTATTTTGTTTCGAAATTATGAGATACCATAATTTTTTATAAAAAATTATTATGCTTTCAAAAAAGTTCCTAGAGACTGTTTGGGAATATTTTTTGTGCTATTCCGAGATATTATAGGTTGTAACTTATTTCAATGTCGATTGAAACTATGCACTTTTATTATAGTTCGAATACTGCTGTAGCATGATCTAGTAAATTTATATAGAAATTTGTGGTCCATATGATCAACTTAAAGATTTTTAAAAAGACAAAATTGAGATTCAAAAGAAATGTATTTTAATTTTTGAAAAATAAATTTACTTAAACTGTTTGGTCTTTTAATTAGTTTGCCACGGTGTAGGTGGAAGTAATTGATCTTTTTCTCTAACTGTTTTCTTGTCTGATCGTTTCCTTATACTTTTTTTTGCATTTTGTTTCTTCTGTATTCTTTTTTTTTCTGTCCCTTTTTTTATTTTTGTATCACATATGCATCCCTACAATATTTGTTGAGATAGAGTACCAACAGAAACACGCTGGTACAAAAAAAGGAATAAAGAAAGAACAGTATGTACTGTAAGCTGCTGTGAACGCCACGCCGGCAGTGTCTTCCTATCTCTGGTGTCGAATGCGGTTAATTCCAAGAAAGCGACGCAGGGGCCTTTTTTTTCTATTTAAATCCTATCAATATTTCTTAACAAATTCAATGGAAAAAAAAGATAAGATTACTTATATCGGGTGTTATCAAAGTTGAGCAATTTATTTTAACAGTTGATAGAACTCGTAAAAAAGTCGTTTTACCAAAAATCGTTTATATAAATGTTGCCAAATAAAGTAATTATTAACAATTATTTAAAAAAATTGAAATTTAAAAACTTTATAATACAAACCTGATTTATTGTAATTTTCGACCACTGCGTTGTAAAAACATAAATGGTAAACAAATGGTAACAATTTTGAACAATTTTTGTAGATTTTTTATAACTCTCTTCTTCTGCAACTTTTATATAAACGATTTTTTTGTAAATTGACTTTATTTACCAGTTTCACCAGCTGTTAAAATAAATGACTCAACTTTGAGAACAACCTTTATTGTTTAATTTTTTGATATATCTAGAGCAACCATCAGTCTTAGTTTCCTACACATACAGTATGTCCGAGGATTGAGTTTGACAAATGGACCAAAAAGTGAAATATACGAAAAAAGGCATTTGTATTGTTAATGAAAGACCCTTTTTATTTGTGGACTGTATTTTCTTGATATCAGATATAAACAACTTCTTTGACGTAATCTGACAGGCTTGCAGGAGCCGTAGTTCGTAGGTCCTTTTTATTGAGATCGGACGAGAAAGAATGTACTGATGTCAATATGACCACAGACAATATAGCGTATCGCTGGCTATTTTGCCTGTGATATGACAGTAAACAACCAATTCAAACAAAAACACGAAAAAAGCTACGTCTTGACCAGCATTCTTGATCAAAGTTTTTACTTATTTAGAAAATACGAATCACCGTGGCGAACTTCAATTTTGTTGTACAGGGTGGGTCAAAAACACCTAAATGTTATTTTGCGTAAGAGTAAACACCTTATTTTGCAAGATACGAAAAAAGGCATTCTAGATAAAAGTTTTTGCTTGAAAAATGAATAGGTAAGAGTCACGTTATCAAAAATTTAATTAGTATTAGTATTCTCTAGCACACCTCTAATCAGAGTACCTACTATTTCCTAAAATAATAATGACAATTGAGGACAGACTTGTTATTGTCTTTATTTAATGAAGTGATTATTTAATGTAAAATAGTTCTCATCAAAACTGTTACATCATGAAACAATTTAGCGAACAATTTGTAGGAGTCCCAATAAGTCGGAAGGCAATCTGCAAGATAATAAAAATGTTTCAAAGGACTGGTTCGGTTTTAAACCTCCAAAAGAAAAAGAAGAAATATGCCAACACAACAAAACTTTGCTAAAAGTATATATAAAAAAACTAGTATTTAGCATATAACTCTATTGAAATAAATTTCGTTAAACAAGTTTACATATCGGTCCGTTAATATTTATTACATCAATGATGTTGCTTTTATGACTTGCTATTAAAATGAATTACGAGCATTTGTGGCACAAATTTTCATATTTATTAGAATTAAATAGGAACATTTTACTAACATATATAAATAATTCCAATTTAACTTTTGTTTCGCAGCTCTCGATTATCAAGATGAAAAAGTTAAATTAAAAGCAAGTGTGAAAATAGTTACGTAAATTGACAAGATATCTATCCATATGCGAATTACAGCTGATTTCCAACTTGTGTAATGATAAAATACGATAATTTTCATAATATCATAAAGGAGGTCATGAATAAGAGTATATAACCACAGCTAATCTATTTTTGTATGTGCCGGTTTATTTTCTAGAAAGTGGCTTGGTTTAACTAACAATTAATAAATACTTAACATATTATTAATTATACAGTACGCGCCTAAAGTATGGAATAAATTCAGTAAAAACGAAACAAATTTTTTTTGGGATCCTCAAACAGGTCGATTTTTAATTTAAAAAATACATATTTTAGCATAAAAGGCGATTTTCAACCGTCATTTGTTTTCGAGTAATGACGTCATCGACATTTTTTTAAATAGCAACCCCCTATTTTTTCCTTGATTCTGAAAGATCGTTTCATTGTCGATCCGACAGTATTAAAATGTTGCCATCTTACATAGGAAAGTTTTCGAGTAAATGACGATTGAATGTTAGAAAATCCAAATCAATTAAAATAAAGCAAAAACGTTATCAAATTTAGTGATCGAAATGCCTAAAATTTTTTATGGATCACGTAGGTGTAAATCTTTACAAAGTGTCACTGTCATACCGACTTTCTAAGTATTGTAAGCGATATAAAAATTATTGTTGAATTTAAAGTATTATGGCACATTTAACTGTCACACAATGAATTGAAATTTTAATTCTTATCGGATGCGGGGATAAGACTAGAACGCAGCAGGAATATTGCGATTTATTTAATGAAAAACATCCAGATTGCCGTATCAGCCAATCAACAGTCAGTAAGATAGAATCTAAATTTGGAGAAACTGGCAAAGTTGTAGATATTCCAATTAGTCCAAGCATTCTGTCACGGATTAATGTTAAATATGCAAAAATTATTACATGGACAAAAAAAATATGACCGTATAGAAAATTAAATTTTAAATTGAGTTTCTTGTTCTTTAAACTCGATCCAATATGGCGAACATGGTTAAAAAAAATCGCAAAGTTGAAAAAAAACGGTTTTTCTAAGATAACTAAAAAAATATATCACGGATTGAAAAATTTTAAATGAGAAAGTTGTAGGTTTTAAAAAGATCTATCGACTGATTTTTTGAAAGTATCGATTGCTTTGTTACTTTTCGAGATATATCGAAAAAACCGTTAAAAATCTTCTCTTTTCTCTTCTTCTAGAACTCGTTTACATTTACG